ATGCGAGCTCGGAAACGGATGCCACTGCCACCAGTCATTCACAGCGATTTAAGAGCAGAACAGTTAAAATGAAATAATTTAAAATTTCAGCACCCTAGCTGCATGTGTCGCATCTCCAGGGCCCCACGGTTAGGTGTGAAGCCAGGCACAGAGGCACAGCTGTGTGGAGGCTGAGGCAGGAGGGTCCCAAATTCAATCCCAGCCTGAGTAACCTACTGACTGAGCAAGACCCTGTCTCAAAATCAAACACAAAAAAAGGGCCCAGATGTGCCCAGGAAGAAGGCCGAGCTTCAGTCCCAGAAGTGCCAAACAATAAAAATTTTTAAAAGTCACATGTGCCTACAGTACCAGACAGCACGTGCACAGGGGATCACCACAGAACGCTCTCCAGGGCAGAGCTCCCTCGAAGGACAAGCAGCAAACTGATGAAGGGCATGGGAAGGGCGCAGGCTTGGTCATTTTCCATGAAGCTTTCATAGTACTTGACTTTTTAAAAAATCAGTCATGTTTTACTCCCACTGAAAAATAAACTTTTACATTTTAAACAGGCATAAGGAAAGAAGGCCTTGAGCTGGGCAGGTGGTGGATGCCAATCATTCCAGCGCTCAGGAGCTGAGACATAAGGTTCATGAGTTCGAGGCCAGCCCAGGCTACGTGTGGAGACTCGGCCTCCACACAGACAAAGAGTGAGGGGAGGAGAGGTGTCTCCTGCCCGCTGAGAAGGAGCTGAGGTCTGCACAGGTGCACATGAGAGAGTGGACGCACCGGGCCCGGCAGCGCCAGAAGCCCCTCTGCCCACAGCTTGTCCTCTCCACATCCTTACACACCCCTTGGGCGATGATGGCTCCCGCTCGTCTTTGTTTCCTAGGGCTGCCGCAGCAATGCACACCACACCAGGCACCTACGACAGCGGAAAGCTTTCTCTCCTGGTTCTGCAGCCCAGAAGTTCAGGGTGTCAGCAGCACTGGTTTCTTCTGGGGAATCGGGAAGCTCCCTCCCACACCCTCGTCCCTCCTGTGGTGGTTCCTTGGCTCACTGCTGGGCGCTCCAATCTCGGCTCTGTCTGTACATCTCCCTCTTGTCTCTCGCTGCATTCAGGTCCCACCCTGTATCCCACAAGATCGCATCTTGAAATCTTAAACTCAATTACAGAAACTAGTGCCCCTTATCTGAGGTTTCTCTTTCTGCAATTTCAATTACTTGTTGTCAACCAAGGTCCAGAAACACCACAGGGAAATCCCACCCCACTCAGGGTACGTGAGGAACTAGCTCACCATCATGCTCCTTCCCACCTGGGAAATGAATCACCCCTCTGTCGGCGAATCCATGCTGTATATGCTACCCGCCCATTAGTCCACAGTAGCTACCTCCCTTATCACATCAACTGTCGGAGCATCACAGTACTCATGTTCAAGTGACCTGATGGCCTCAAAGCACAAGAGCAGCGTGTGACAATCTGGGCCACAAAGAAGCCACGAAGTGCTATACTTATAAGCTATACTTATTCATCTTTCTGTGCCTAGCCTACAAGTTAAGTTTTGCTGTGGATGTGTATACACAGGACAAATAATGTATATAAGGTTAGACAGTGCCCACAGCTTCCCTGGGGTCCTTGGAGAGTTCCCTGCACAGCGGAGACCGCTGTACATCCGCACAGGCCCCACGTCCACAGATCACATCCAGAGGTGCTGGGACATCTTTGGGGGACCACGACTCCTCCCACTACGCCATTTTCTGGACTGGTGGTGGCGAACCTATGGCACATGTGCCTCAGCGGCCTGTTGGTTATCACCGAAAGCTCTAAAAGGTTCGCCATCACTGTTCTAGATCAAGGATGCAAGGCCCAAGGCTCCCTTGCTCTCCTGAGGTCACCAAGCTGGCTGAGGGCATAGTCCTGCCGCTCAGCCCACAACGGCTGTGGACAAGGGGGACACGCCGTCTTCCTGCTTGAAGCCTCCTTCTGCCACCCAGTCTCAAACAACCGCTGATTTCACAGGAGAGCCAGCCCCTTCCCTGCCTTCACTTCTCTGCCGGTGCCTGACAGGATCTGACAAAGGTCACAGTGTCTGCCCCGACCGTGGGAAGGGTCTGCGGCTGGGGCACTGTGGGTATCTCAGATCAGACGGGGACCTGAGCTACAGAGAGTGGCCTGCTCCAAATGTCTGCTGGGCCTTGATCAGAGCTGGGAAGAAGGCGAGCAGGTTCCGGCTGCCTGTCGCAGAGAGGGCCTCCGCCCTTTTTCTCACCAGGGAAGCTCATGCCAGCTCACTGGGCTTGTTTGGCTGGACTCCAGCCTGGGGAGCGTAAGAACTCAGAATGTAGGCAACGGCACAGAGGGAGCAGGGCGGACTTGGCAGGCGGAGGACCCTGCTGAGACCACTGCAGGGCACTGCGGGCCTCCACACCTGCAGAAGTCCTCGGGACAAGAGCAGCGCTTCCACCACCAGCGGCAGCGCCTCCCCACACGCAGGAGTGCTCCCTCCATGCCTCTCCGCCTGCTGGTGCTGATCAGAATCCCAAAGACACAGTCCCGGAACCCCACAATCCCAAATTTTAAAATCCCCACAGAGCAAGATCCTGAAAGCCTAAACCTCCCTAACGATCAAAATCCCCAATAATCATAATCAAAAGATTGAAGCCCTGAAAGCCACAAGTCTGAAACCACAATTCCCATCGAAAAGGGGGGGCTCCATAAGAGGAGAAGAAAGCAGAGCTCTGGGGGAGGGATTCACGCGTCTTCAGCTGTACACAGGATGGCTGCCGAATCACCCAATGGTGCCCCACTTCCTCGCCTTCTCGTACAGTGTCCTTCCTGCCTTCCAGAAACTGCCCTTTGATGGAAAAAAAGAATTGAACAAGCTCAGCCACCTTCTGAACCAAAGACTGGCCGACAGCAGCCTGCGTACCGCAGGACATCCGAAACGGACAAGGGTTTCAGCATGCCGGCTCAGGCTAGGAACCGTCAAGGAAGGATTTCCTGTATTTACCGTTAAGTCTAATCTAGAAAAATGAGGCCTCCTTCTCTCAGGCTGATGGTCAGCCCACGGTCACCCGGGACCCTTGGAGCCCTCGCAGCAGTCAGAAAGCCCATGGCCCCCACCCTGATAAGGGCAGGCGGGACACGAGGCTGTCTTCAAGTCGTGCGCTCAAAACAAACTGGAAAAGGCCCACAGGGCCGATCCAGCGCAGTCATCACTGCTAGGAAGAGGCAGTCCTTAGGGCCCGGGCCGCCTCCGCCGCCTCCTCCTCCTTCCCTCTGTCTCTGTACTTGGACTTTTGAGCATTCTGTTAGAAGCCACAGCAAGAAATCCATTTCCCACGGTCATCCAGGTCACACATACAAACAGAAAGAGCCGGCACCACAGTCCCACTCGGCACTTTTCATTCTACGCGATAGTTCACCATTGCACAATGCCAGTTGCATACAGCTAAGCTGATTCCTGATTTCATGAACGCATTGTGACTCCAAGCTAAAAAAAGAAAATACTTGCCCACTTAAATCCTGTGACTGTTCAGATGTCCCGGTTTCCATCGGAGTGATTTCAGGCCCACCCGCCACCTCAAGGTACCAAAGTCTGCAGATGCCCCAGTCCCTTCTGTGAATGGTGTAGCTGTTGCCTCAGACCCACACACATGCGCCCAACACTTTACAGCCATTTGTGACGCCTACTGATAGCTGAGTGCTATGTAAATCGTTGTTACACTGTATTTTTAAGGAAACGCAAACAAAGAAAACATCTGTACATGTGTTCAGTACAAATGCAACTTTTTTTTTCTGAAGACTATCAACCCACGGTTGGCTACACCCAAAGCTGATTAATCTACAGATGCAGGATCCGTGGATACAGAGGGCTGCCTGGACATCCAATTCAGCATCAGGAAGAAGGAAAAAGAGGGGAACCTTCTTCTTTTACGTATTTTGCACATCGTCCAAAGATTCATTTGTGCGATCTGAATTCTTTTTCCCATTTAATTGCAAGCCGACTTCCTGATCTGAGAATGGTGTCGTCCTCCTCGTGTCCTTTTCCTCTGCTGAAATCTCAGAGGTCCTTCCGAAGGCTCGTGCGGCTCAGCCACGAAGCCTCTCCCACCGCGAGCGCCCCGCTGTGAGGCTCCGCGCCTGGGGGAGCTGGGTGGGCATCAGTGTGTGAGCTGCGAGCCCTGCAGTGGATGGGACACAGGGCGGCCTGGGTGACAGGCCTGAGGGCACCAGGGACTCTGTTCAGCCCCCACAGTCTCCAAACCAGTAACACAAACCACCTTTTCCTTCACATGGGAAGCCTGCGAAACACTTCCTTGCTGGGGGTATACACTGACCTAGGCAAGGGCCACACTAACCCTGCAGACGCCATGGCTGGAGGTCACCCACAGAAGGTCTCCATCCTGGCCGTACACAGCTTCCTGAGCACAGCCAGAAGACCCGACGTGAACTGGGCTTCGAGCCACATCGATCGGCTACCAGCAAATCCACATTTCATTCGTGCCGCTCCTGGTCTACGCCAAGGAACCAGGAGAGATGTGAGAATTTGGAAAACTCACGCAGACCTTCCTATTTCCTTCCTCTGCCTCTACCGAAAAAACAAAACAACAACAACAACAAAAAAACGAATGCAAACAAAAAAGTCCTGTATTCGCCAGACTGTTTACTCCACAGACGGAAGCGAGCTCGTGGTGCTAACACCCTGTGGTGGTGAATCCCTTCCTCAACTGTGTCTCCGTCTGTAAGATGCACACAGCCTCCACTGTCCTGCTACCCAAGCCTCTATTTCTAGTCATCACTGGCGCCGTCTTAGCTCCTCCACCAAGACCACCAGTCAGGCTGCTGGGATCTTTAATGAGGCTGTTGGTGAGGGTGTAGGGTCCCAGGACCACCTCAGAGTACCACTGCCTCGGACCCAGACGCCGCTCCTCGCCGTGGGCGTCCAGAGCAGTCTGGCCGCCAGCAGAGAAAGGACCAGGCCCTGGAGGTCAGGAGCCAGTGAGGGTGACGCAGCACCTACCTGGGGGACAGACGCACTCAGACGGGGCTTCACGAGCAGTCCGGAGCTTGGCGAGTCCATCCAACTTCTGAACCGAGAGGGAAAGGAAAACAAAATGGGGGTGAGCGTCACAGCACAAAGGTACAAGTGGAAAAATCAGCAAAAGCAAAGAGTCTGAGTGAGCCGCAGCATTGCATCAGTGGTAAGTTCCAGAACACTTCCCAAAAAGTCATTAAATTCTCTGGGTGATTTTGTAACAAGGGGAAGAGCCACAGCTGACATGGAACAAGCCCTGATAAATCCTCGGAAAGGAGGTGACAGCTCCTGCTCTGTTAGAACACGTTTCGATGTGACTCCGGGACCGAATCACACGGAAACAGCATCCTGCCACCTAAGGAGCCCCCGCGGCCCCATATCCGTGGGAAAGGATGTGAAGGCCTGAGCACGGCTGCTCCCTGGGCTCCATGATCACCCCATCCTCACCCAGGAGCCCCCACAGCTGTAGCCCAACCCTCGGCACGCGAAGGCCCTGACCTAATCCACCCTACGGCTACGGCTTCCTTTCTTCCTTGGAGGGGCTGGGGGGTGCTTGGCATAGATAATTCAGCTCAGTACAATTTAACAAGCGCCCACACACGACCAGCCCTATGCTAGAACGCGGGGAAGAGAGAAACAGCACCGCAGGAGCTCACAGGACAGCTCCAGGAGCCCAAGGCCTGGCCTGACCTTCAGGGCAACGTCTTTTGTGGTCCCCACATTTGAACCCGGGCCTCCTACACACTAAGCACACGCTGTGTACTGAGCTACATTTCCAGCCCCAGGGCGACTTCTGGGGGCCCAACTCCTTAAAAAGGGAACGCAAGCTTGGGAAAAAGATAGAAATTCATCTCAAACCCCCAAATCCAGCTTTCAAGAAGTGAACTGATTGGTCCACTGCCCCCCGCCTGGAATCTGACAGCCACATGCACAGTGTTAACCGGGCCCTGGCGCTTCATCGGCTTCCCTCCTCCACCTCCTCCACTCCTGAGCAACTGGCCAGATGGCGTCTTCCTCATTTTCTGGCCGCTGCCCCATCAAGCTCCTTGGCCGTCCCTTCTCACCTGCTCTGGTGCATTTAGAGCTGCACCCCATTTCTCCCCACCGCAAATCCCAGCCTGTCCTATGGTCCTGAGCAGTCTGTCTCTGCGCTGTAACCAGCATCAATTAATTCGTTTTCCTTTAGCACCATTAAGCCTGGAGTTCCAACAGAGGTGGACAGGACCCCAACCAAACTCTGTCTGCCTCTGGCTGGAACAGCTGGAAATCAGGAATCGGGGTAAAAGCATAACCCAGGTGCTTCCAGCAGCCTGCAACAGGCAGAAGAGAAATCGGGGTGCACGGCCTGGCTGTTGATACGACTCAGTACCAGAGCTTGGAGGCCCGGCTGCACTGACTCCAGACTTGCATACCTCCTGGGCCGCAAAGGTCTGCAGTTTGCCCCTGAAACAGACCTAGTGAGGGCCTCAGAGCCCAGGCTCTGGCTCCATCAGGAACCTCGACCTACCACTTTTGTTTTTGGTACTGGGGATCAAATGCGGGACCTTGAACTTGAGAGGCAGGTGGTAGAATCACCCAGCTAAATCCCCGCCCGTGACCTGGCACTTTCTCGCAAAAGCCTGTGAGCAGCCCCCGAGGCCAGGGATACCCCGGCTTCTGCAGCAGACGCCCACCCCTGCCTTGCAGGCCCCTGGCCGAGGAAGCCGGACGCCCACTCCTGTCCTCACGGAACAGGAGCCAGAGCTCTCCTCTCACTGTATTCACAGACAGCAGAGCAGACTGCAAAGTGCTTGTGAGAATCCAGCACAAGCCAGTCAGCTCTGGCCAGAAGCTCCTCTGGTCTCTATCACTGCTGGGCAGAAATAAAAAGCCCCCCTGTTAATTTCATTTTTAAAAAAACAAAGGTACTTAATGCTAAGAACAATAAGGTTTTAACCACAGGTACTACATCTAGACCCCTCCTCTAAAGGGTGGGGGGCTTATCATGGGCTGATAGGAAACACAATGACTTTTAAGCTACTCTCATCCCGAGCCCACGTGGGGAGCCTTCGGAGAAGAGATTAACGTTGGGGCCACCCCACGGGATACAAATCTCCAGGACTGTTTTTGTCAGTTGCTTCAACGCCTCGTGAGCGTTTGCTTTTCTGGATCAAAGCCGACCCCTGCCCTCCCAGCCCCTCTCCTCTCCCACCTGCACACCTCTCCGTCATGCCTCACTTTCCCCAGTTTGAGCGTCGCCACTCTGAACTAACTCCACATGAAATGTCTGAATCCAAAACCCAACCCCACAGCCTTAACTTCATGCGTTTTAATTCTAAGAAAATATTCTTTTGTGTCCAGGTTTGTGAAAACGATTTAAAAGTCCCAACTTTTTACATTCAGTTGTCTGGCAACATTCCAGCCTCTGCAAACCCGTTTTGCATATGCAAACAAGTCCTTCCTCTCAAAGTAAACAGAGGGTGAGTTTCTGAGAAGGACGGAGCCTAGGGCTGCTGCCCTCCAGAAGCGGGAGAAGCAGAACTGGAAGTCTGGGGAGGAGCAGAGCGCACTCCAGACAGGCAACAGGGAAGCCGTGGTTTTCAAAACATGCTCCGCTGACACACGTCTTAGGGATCTGTTGGGCCACTGGTCTTGGACACGTGGGCAGGTGTTTGACGACACCCTCAAACGCTTTCAGGTGAATGAAAGGAAGGAAGAGGAAGAGGAGGACAAGAAAGAGGAGGGGGAAAGGGAGAAGGAAAGAAGAGAAGAAAAAGGAGAGGAAGAGGAGCCACCACTGGAGCAGCCAGTCTTGGAGCCCAGATACCAGGAGGCCGAGGCAGGAGGGCTGCTCGAACCCCAGGTCAAGGTCATCGTGTGTGACCTGCCTCCCCAAAAGCAAACAAAACTCATTCTGTAAAATGTTGTAAATAAGACCATAAGTAAACACTTCATCTTTTGGCTGAAACTCCTGCTCTGGGGTCTGTATTCCAAGGAAACAAATCAGCAGAAGCAAAAAACGGCACTCGTTAAAAGCTGCGTGAGCCCTGTGAAGCAGTGGCGACCGGTAATGGAGGACAGAGTCCCGGGATGCTCCAAACAGAACCAGGTGGAGGCTGAGGAGATGGCAGTCCCTCTTAACTCAGGGCATAGGTCCCAGGATCCCCAGTGAAAGTGCAGGAACCACCACCCCTCTACACAGATTACACATACATACGCATCTATGATAAAGCTTACAGAAAGAGATGAACAAAAATAACTAACAGAACAATTGTAACAATAGACTGTAGTAAGTTATGTTGATGTGGCTGCTCTCTCTCTAAAAGCATCCAACTGTACTGCACTTCCCTTCTTGTGATGATGTAAGATTTGTGACGAGAGCAAGTGAAGAGAGTGATGTAGGCACCGGGATATTGTGTCAAGCTGCTGCTGACCTGGTGGCACTGCAGAAGGACCCATCTCCTCAGGTGATCCGGGATCACAGAGGCATGATAACGCCAGGTGGGTGGCATATACAGGGTGTATACACTGGACAAAAGAGTGAGTCACATTCCAGGCAGGCAGAGAGCAGGATGGTGAGAGATTTCGTCAACTACTGAGAACAGTGTGCAATTTAAAACTTTTTCCTGGAATTTTCAGACCATGGCTGGCCACAGGGAAGTCAAAGACAGAACCCGAAACTAGCGCTAAAGAGGGCTTCTGTATGACTTGGCTTCACTGAAGGCTGTGGGGAAATGCATCTAACCTGAGCAACTTGGCAAACTGTGTTTCAGTTAAAAATGAGGCTGAAGGCAAAAGGAATTATAGATAGATATTGTACTCCAGTAGGGTCAATGGTTTCTTACACAAATATAGATCAGAATTTTTGAAAGTAACACATATATAACAAGTAAGTATATAAAGCAAGGTTTATTGCTGTCCAAGAAGGCAATTAAAAATAAGGAAGGGAGGAAAGCTAGAAAGCACCTATGGTACTGGGTCAGCGCCAGAAACATTGCCATGAGGTCACGTGTGTTATGCACACAGAGAGAAACACACAGCAGTGACAGCACACTCAGATATGCACAGCAGTCAGATCAATGTGTGCACAGCTGAACTTCACCTGCACTCATGGGTCCCCGATGGAACAAGCCCAGCCAGCACATGGATCATGGCTTCTAAATCCTATTCTTCAATAAAAGGAACCAGGTTTCTTACCGAAATGGCGAATTCTAGGGCTAAGGCAGGAAAAATACAAGATGACCTTGGACTACGCTGTAGTGCCAGCAAGTACAAAGTAGTTTTGTTTTGTTTTGTTTTGGTACGGGGGATCGAACTCGGGTCCTTGGGCTTGCAAGGCAGGCCACCGAACCACTGAGCTAAATCCCCGGCCCTAGTTTTTT